CAAAGTGAATGTGGGATGAGCTGGTGTTGTCTGCACTCCTTTGATTGGAGTGTAGATTAAGTGGAGGAGAAACATGGGGAGGCCCTGCATGAGTCAAGAAAACGCTCACAGCTGTCACTGAGAGAGGTGGGCGGGTCGATCCAAATATCGATAGTATTGGTACCAACACTAGTATTGGTTACGGATCAATACTAGCATGACTGGATTGATACTTTGCTTTTATCCTTCATGTTCAGTATGTAGCCGCTGAACTGTGTTAATTATTTCTGTAGTGGGGATTCCCTTTGTCCAACCAAACATCCTACAGTTTAAAATTCACAAACCACTGCTGCACTGTGGTAATGTTTTGTGTGCAGGCAAAAGACGTCCAACTATCAAACTCGAAAGTTGCATTTTATTGTTTATTTTTCCAGTTCGGCAAGCAATAACAAAGATCCATCTTTGTTCCTACCCGCTGCTTCTCCTGCTCTGGTTAAAAAAAAAAAAAAAAAAACATAGGCCCACCCCAGTGCATTCTGGTCCTATACCAGTCCCTTTGTTTATATATATATATAAAAGACCTTACAGTTCTTCCTGGCTGACTTAGCAAGATAAACAACAAAACAAAACAAAACAAAGCAAATATTAACCTACAAATAAACTTGTAAATAACCCAAAAATATAAACAAACCAACAACAAACCCAACAAATTTCAGAATAACAAAAATAAAGAATAAATAGCTCCAACAATTTCTTTGGAAGAATAAACCTCAAACATGCACTATGAAAAATGTCCAAACCTTTTTGTGTGCTTTAGAGACAGAATTTACATCACAGGTCTCCAAAAAACTGAGTTTCAAAAAGCATGAAAAGCTGAAAAGTGTGTTTTGTTGTGTCAACTAATTATTGTGGAAAGTAACAATCACAGTGATATAGTGGTCATGGCTCACTACTCTCCCCCAATTAGCTGCCTGAATAACTTAAAATTATTGGAACTGACATCGACAATACTGCGCCTGTATTTACTTGGTTGAAAGTGTGAATGTTTTTGTTGAAATGTCCAGGCAAGTATACACATGTTAAATGACCAGATATACCTGTTCAAATAGCGTCAATTAACTCACAACTATATGATAACTCTTCATAACTAAACAATAAGAACAAGTAGTCTGATGTCCTGTGATCATTATGAAGCTATAATTTGAAATACAATAACACGTTAAGTTTTTGTACAAAGTATCGGTATCGGATCAGTATTGTTGATACCACCCTGAATATTACTTCGGGAAAGGAAATAAGTAGTATCGCACATCACTAGTCACTGAGCGCCGGAAAAAGCAGCTCAGTGACCCGCCCAGAATGCTATTATTTTCCTCCGCTTTCTGGAAGGGTTCTTGCAAAATTTTATGGCGTCCTGATTTAACAACACCACCTTAATAATCAACCTTCAGCCAGTTTATGGGAAAAGTGAGACATTTTAACACTTTACTGTCCTTGATTATATTTTCAGGTTGTTGTTTATTAGTAAAAAAAAAACAAAAAAAAACCCCCACACACATTAAATTTTAAATCGGGGACCAAAAATATTAAACATAGACTGAAACTCATATTTACTGTCTTATTTACATTTCCTCATGAAAACGGGCTGAATGTCGGCTTCATTTTCACAATGGTTGATGCATTTAGTTAAATTCATTCATAAAGAGGCTGTGGACAGTGAACGGGTCATTGAGCTGTCTCTACTTTCAGCCTGTTACAAAGTCAACCCTGTTTGATTCTACTTTTTGTATTAAATATAACATCATCATTATTATTATTATTATTATTATTATTATTATTATTATTATTATTATTATTATGTGTTTAATGGAATCTGGAAAAACTGCTGTCAAAACTGTGACATCACAGCACATTTAACATCTCAGCTAGATGATAAATTATTTCATCCTAAGATGCTGTTGATGGTGTCTGACATATTTTCTTTTTCTATA